TCTCTAACCACACCCCTCCGCATTAGTCCACTGATCTCCCCCTCGCTCATCGTGCAGTGGATTTATCTCTGGGGGGCTCCGCGGTAGCGAGGCGGACCTGTCAATCTTCCGCACCACGCCGGTATGTATGATATGTCACATCGTCCTGTTATCCGTTTCGCGTGACAGAGCGATGTTACCCAAGTAGTGTGTTATGTGTGGTGGTCATCTAACGTTCCGTGCTGTGATCGTGCGGGTGCGTGTGTGTAGTGTGTCGTGTGTGTTGGTTGTAGCAATGTGTGTGTGTTGTATGTGTGTGCGTGTGGCTGTGTGTATGATGGTCGGCGTCATTGTGTGCGTGTGCTTGTGTGTCCTGTGTGTGTTGTGGGTGTGCCTCCGTGTGTGTGTTGCGTGTGTATAGTGCGTGCATAGTGCGCGTGCATGTCGCGGTGCGTGCGTGCGTCGTGTGTGTGTGTGTGCTGGGTGAGTGTGGAGGTCTTGTAACAGCCAGCCTCGTCTGTGAGTCTGGCTTTCGCTCGTGCGAGTGTCTTGTCCCGAGTGACCAATGATGGGTTCCGGTACTGTCATCCATTATATACCAACTGTGCCATAGTGTGAGTCGTTGCTGGCTTTCGGCTCACCTCTCCCGCTCTCCCCCGGTTGCCCGCGCATCCCTGTCCTGCGTGGGTGTGTGGTGTGTATGTGTTGTGTGTGTATTGTACGCTGGAGGTCGATTACTGGTGTACAGCGGTGGCGTGCAGACCTTTTTTCTACACCCTACGCGTGACGTGCACTGTAATTGCGGGAGCCCGCACGCCCCGATCTTGTAGTCTTGGGGCTAATGAAATTTCAACTTAGTCGTCATCTGATTCATATCATGAATTTGCGGTAAAACACGGGATGAAATACGTCCTAGCTCAAGCTTCAGCGCGTAGTAATTAATCTCGAGCGACACTACGTAAGCGTGTGAACAATCCCGCTCTGACTCAAACACCGTAGCAAACTGCTGAGCTGTGACGACATTGAGTGCCCGTGGCGCATACAGAACTGCAGTGATCGATTGCATCTTAATAATACCATACTAAGTGGCATTGTGACTGCTGATGTATATAAGATAACTTGAGAATGCGCAATGTAACTCAACGCTACGAGGATTAAACATGCTATGACTCGGCTAATTAGCACTATATACCTCGCAATAGCATATATACGTACTTCCTGCAACAGTACGTTTAATCTACACGCGGACATTCAAGAAAAACGCTTGCAGGGAATACCATCGTATGACATGAGTAGCGTGTTTTGAGCCCCTGCCATTTATTGCGACGCTGCGTTCTGTCTGTTTGGTCGTCAACATCTGTCTGTATGTCGTTCTGGCTGGCTGCTCTAGTTACTATCGTCTGTCCCTCCAACTATCCGATTATTAACGTAAGTAACACTGTTACTTTCAGAATGACGCGCAGTAGGTAGCCCTACGGCAAAAATGTCTGCATTCAATAAGAAATAGATCGATTACTACTCATCTCCTCGCCACCACATTTGCAATCCCCACATGTACAACTGTCCCTGACCAATTTATGGGCTTACCTCTTAATATGTCAATACGCTCCTTTCCCTAATTCATCTCTCTCGTGAAACGTACCGATTAAGGACATATAAGTATTAACACCACTACTTATTTTTCAGTACCTAAGACTAAATCTAAACTAATTCTCGAACATTCATGAAATGCGTCGTACTATTTAAACGAGCGTAGAAACGAACCAAGGTTCACGCCGGGGTCCCCCGTTAGTAAAAAATAGATCCAAACACCAATGAGTTCGGCACTGCCGAACGATTCGGCATGTTCGGGCCAGCGCAAGCGCTCGCCGCCTCGTGATAGAATGTCAGCCCAAGAGACCGATTCGGCTCACCCTGTCGGGAGACCGACTTAGAGCTGTGCATGAGACGTGAGAGACAAAAGAATGTAGGGGAGGTTGGGTAGATGGCATAAACTGAATCAGTAAAAAAACTCCAATGCATTCCGAGCAATTTCCGACGACAATCGTGACATGCGCAGAACGCTGCTCACCGATGTAAAGCCGTTCGGGCGAATACACGCACCCTGCTCGCCAAAACATCGATGAGCTAAATACTATCGCCGCAGGTATTGTTTAGTGCGGTGTGTTAAACTAGTCATGTTATTCCCTCAGGAGAAAACACAAGTTTCGTCGAATCCTTCGTGGGAGAATTATCCCCAAAAGACGTGGATTTCTAAGAGATCGTGAATTGTCTCAATGATTTCTGAGCGCGTAACTCGCGATTCCGTAAACCAATTCGCTTCTCTCTCTCGATACCGTAACGATTGGGTTTTAGTCAGCCGAGACGAGGAACGTGAAGAACCGGAAGTGAGCCGCTGTGAGCCGGGCACACCGGCTAGACTCTCTCTCACACACACCCTCCGAGGATCACCACACACCACACACGCGCGCCCACGCATCGCCACTACGCGCTTCGCACACACACCGCACACGCGACCACCGCACACGCACACGCAAACACGCAACGCACACGCCACACGGCACACGCCACATACGCACACGACACGCACCACACACACACACACACACCGAGAGAGAGAGAGAGAGAGAGAGCGGGAGAGAGCGAAAAGCACCGCATCACCGCTTCACGTGACGCACGTCTCTTCTGACGACGTCATCGGAACATCAGAAACGCATTACGAACTCGCGGCTCTTCTCTCTCTCTCTCTCGCGCGCGCGTTGAGCGTTTGCATCACGTGACCACCCTCGCGACGTCGTCGACTAGACATTTTCGGTCGCGTGCAATCCCGTTTTAATAGAAATAGAAACTTCACGAAAACCAATTTACGCAACAATATGTCAAACTTGGTCCGTCGGCGAGCCGGTCGATTCGCCGCATAGAAAGCCATATAGCCATAAACGAGCGCGTTGTTTGGGCTCTATCAACAGCGCCACTCAGATCGATACGTGCCTACTTTTGTTGGCTGTGTGAGAGCGCGCGCAGTCACCCTTGATGTTTGATCACATTAGCGTAGACTCGAGAGAAACAGAGGAAAGATCGACTCGGGCGGCTTTCATGCGTTTTGCTTGACGTGTTGCTACGACGTCGATCTGCGATATAATGGAGGACGGCGGCCGGACGCACGGCATGCAAGCAGACGACTGCCAGTAACGCCGCTGCGGCTAGAACACTACATTTGTCTTCGTGCGGCAGCGGCCTCAGCGGCGATACGGCGTCCCACGCGAAAACGCTACACATGGGAACGTGAGCGCAGGTATTTCGATCACCTATACACACACTGAGAGGAGAGATGGGGGGGGGGGGTCGGTATTCAAGAGCCGGCATGCTTTGTCAATGAATCAAAAGAAAATTTGCGCGAACAATATCTCGTATTGAACTGTTGTTGCTAGCCAAGCAAACTTGCCAAAGCGACGTCGCCCGGCATTGGGGGAAGGGGTGTGTAGAAGGTTCGTATGGTGTGTATAGCCCGCCGCCGGCATTTATGGATCTGTGATAAATTGCCAACGGTTCAAACGACGTGCGGCGTAAGAAGACACGCAAAAAGTTTCAACATAATAAAGTTATGGTACATGAAATTTGCGGCCAATCGTTAGTAGCACTTGGTGATAGACACTCGTAATACCCAACGTTTTATGTCTCATTTCTAGCGCCACCTACAGGCCGTCGCATTCACTATTTAACTCGCAGTGAAGCCGAGAAGGAATAGGAAATAATTTTAGGGCCGGGACGGATGTTGCGAGGAAATTGCTCAAACGTTCCTGACTCACTCCCGCGCTTCCGAGCTGTTGTGCCCAGATTTAGCTGTGCTTCCGAGGGCTTACAATTTTACTCATGAGAACAACGGTTTAAGAATAACAAACTGCCGCCATTCGTATTGCAGATGAATCAAGGCGCCTTCCGTAACCGAAATACAAAACGACAGAAATCAAATGAAAACAAAACGTTCCGGACAGATTTCCTATCGACTCAAATTGTTCTGTTGAAATTACGCTGAATTTGACGGAATAACTTAAACACCCGATAAATTGTCGGTGGAAAAATAAACGCAGTATAGAGGTATCATAAATATTGCTTTGGTGTGTTCACTATATGTAGGGGAAGCGAAAACATCAATATACGAGTAACGTGTTAATGGGCAATTATTTTCAGAAATTTAATTGCTCACTTTATACTCGATTTTCGCAAAAGAAACAAGCTAATTGTAGGTAACCACCTAATGGGCTAACGTATTCAACCATAACGATGGGTACCAATAGTGAACTCACCTAGGTAATTATTTTCTATTCGGAGAATTCTGCGTTACTGACTTGCATACGGCCATGTGTATTCTGAAAATGTTTATGTACTAGATGACCTACGTGGGATATTGATAACGTGCTAAGCTAGGGATAACAAAGAAAGATCACATACATACACTACGTACGTACGTGCACGCGCGCACACATACACGCGCGCGCACACACACGCGCGCACACACATACACGCGCGCGCACACACATACACACGCGCGCACACACACACGCGCGCGCACACACACACATGCATGCACACACGTAGACACACACGCACACACACACACACACACACAACAGAATTAAGCGCCCGCACGCACTCACGCACGCACGCACGCACTCACGCACGCACACGGACACGAAATAATTTGAGTTACCTGCACCACTGTTTATGATGCTGCTAATTATAAATAATATAACCATTGGTTTTTGTTAAATTTAATATTTTGCAAACGAACGACACGTTGAATGTGTAGCCTGGCTAGCCTCGCACGAACTAACAGACTCACAAACCTTTGATCTAACCTAATAACATTTCACCCAATCAGAGCACGCCCCCTAGAACAGTAAGTGATCTCCCGTAAAAAAAGGACAAGGCCCCATTTAACCAGGAGGTGGCACATTAGCAAGCTGTATATGCTAACGATTACACTCTTTCTTCAAGGTAATAGTATATTAACAATTACATAAATTTCAATATCATTACAATATTTATTATATGTAAACAACACTAGTTGAGAAATATATACATGCCATACTGTAAACAGTTATATTCATTTAATAATCATACAGACTATGTGGTAGAAGATGAAACACTTGCTGACTAGACAGTACCAGTCATTTAAGCACTCCGCAGTGTTATTATTCATGGAATACGTTAATATATTCTCACAACAAATGAAGGTGAAATGGATATCTAAGACTGATCATTTAAAATGTTGACAAACTTGCCTTTTTAAGGTTTGGATCAAGCCAACCGCAAAAACAATTCAACCGCATTTGGAAAGCCACAGAAGGTACTAGTAGTATTTAACTGTTGCCACTTATAACTAAATTACGTATGCTCGTGGCGTTCTCACATGCATGTACGCTGCATGATTCTAAATGTCACCAGCAAAACAGGTAAGAGTTCTAACATCGAGACAACCAGTGTTATGTAAACTGACGTGTAACATATCGTGGAATTGTCAGTACTGGTCTGATTGAAATTAGTGAAATATGTCATGAACAAGACCGCTGGTTTTGACTGCATTCTGAAAACCGAGTTTTCCACTCGCTCTCCATTTATATTTACCCATTAGAATTCAGTGTAAAAGCAACCCCCTCTATCACCAGGTAAGTGAATTGATGCTATTTGTAGCGGTATCCCGCAGCATCAATTGTATGCTTAATCAACGAAAATGAGCTGAAACGAAAGGTATGGAAACTTTCGGCTATTAATTAATGAAAGATGTGACGGCCCCTCTTTATTTCAAACAATACTATTGCTCAGGACAATTCACCTTCTCCTCTACTGGACCCCACACTAAACACCAGAATAAGAGCCATATTGGAAACAGAACTACAGTGACCAGTCCATACGTCCAGTCACCATATATGCACCCACTTGTTACAGAGGAGAAGACGGCTGATACCATCTCCTCATATGACTGAATAGCCAGAGTGTGTACGTCGCCGTCTACACCTACAAGAAGCTTTGACGACAATATGACAATGTAGAGAAGGACAGGTGGTGCCACCATCACAGTGACCATCATCTGTAGAAGCGTCCCGACCCTGGAATAGAGATATACATGAATGAAAAAAATTGGATTGTAACGAACGTGGATGGTTATATAGGCATACTTAGATGCGAACCCCATTCACTGTTATTTGGGTTCTTAAAACATTCTACCATTTTGAGGTCAATTTGTAAAATTAATATTTATTTTACTATATATATTCGATATCACAAATTCTATTAGTTAAATCTGTATGAATAGGTCACTCAAAGTAAATTCTAAAATTATATAAGGGACATGTCTTTGTTCTAAAGAGGAAACAACTAACACACGTTTGGCTGTATATATGTATTACCGATTTCTTCCCGTGCTTAAAGAAACAGTTCATATGACAAAGATCTTCTATTAGCATTATGCTCCTACAATCAGTTCCGCACGCATGTTTACTTCTTGAAAATATTACTCAGAAATAATGATAACTACTTGAAATCTGTCAAAATAAGACGATGTACAATAGAATGGCAGGTGAGGTGTATATTCACGGATTGAGTGCATCTCGTGGGTAAAACAAGAAAGGCCACTCCTAGTGGCTTCATACCATTAATGCTTCAACCTACCTGCACCTGTGTGGAACCAACCATAGATAACTGTCACCATACCCACGTTAGAACCTACCTGCTCCTGTATGGAACCAACCATACTAACGTGGGTATGGTGACAGTTAACACCCTACCTGCTCCTGCGTGGAACCAAGCATTCTAACGTGGGTATGGTGACAGTTAACACCCTACCTGCTCCTGCGTGGAACCAAGCATACTAACGTGGGTATGGTGACAGTTAACACCCTACCTGCTCCTATGTGGAACCAACCATACTAACGTGGGCATGATGACAGTTATCAACCTACCTGCTCCTGTGTGGAACCAACCATACTAACGTGAGTATGGTGACAGTTATCAACCTACCTGCTCCTGCGTGGAACCAGGCACACCAACACAGGCACGGTAAAGATACCAATGATGGCTGCCAGAGAGAAATTCATAACTGAGGTCGTTCCCAGGACCAGGCTCAGCTCTAGCAGAGCAACACACCTCAGCATGTCTGGACTTGGAATGAAGATGTTCTCTCCTGGTTTTCCGTGCCTACATAAAAAGTCGAAATGCGAACATGGTGTCAAGTTTTCCAGCTACAGTGTTTAACTTTGTGAGCGTACAATTTATCGAACTTTAACGAACAAAATTTCACGACCGTAAATTAATGAGCATTATTTTACAACTTTAATTTCGCAAATAGAATACAAACCATAGACTGGTTTGTTAACATAACATCTTTTTAATTTGAACAAATTTAGAAAACGTCCACTGATGGAATGTTCAGCATGTATCGATTGATACTACTAAACTCTTGTTTATAGATAGGAAATGTTTGTTTAAATCCATTGCAGACTTAAAGACAGCATCTCAGCACACTGCCAATAGTTGGAGGTTCATTTAAAGTAAAATTTCTCATATTTAGGTACCTCATCACTAGCTTCGGAAAGAACAAGGCCGCAGCACCGACCGACATTATGCTGTAGAAGAGCAGGTGGTCCGTGGGTAGCTGCTTGTACATGTCTAGCAGCCAGGTGGGTGCAGTGAATATGTACAGACCTACGCCCATCAGGTGAGCCATGGTGAGCATAGGCAGCACCGAAAGTAGCGTAGCACCTCCCTGTGTACAAAGCCAAAGCAGCAGGAACAAGTGTAAGATTAGTGTTGCACTTGCATTGTGAATGTAAACTCTGAGTTATCAGCACTAACGTGCCAGTGCTGCAAGTAATATCACACCATATATGGATGGCTACCTCAGTTTTATAGACTCACGTTTTTATTCGCACTATCACCGGATTCGGATGTGCTGCCATCTGTTGACAATTTTCTTCTTTGGTCCATAGGGTCATTAGCGGTCTGCTCTGTTGACATCTGAATCCACAGAGCAAGTGCCTGGACCACCATTACGAATAAATAACATGAAGACGACGGTAATACTACTGAAGTGCTATATATATTAATGCTACTACAGCCCTGATTTATGTAAACATACTATCACAAACACATATTTATATTTACATACGCATGCACACACATGCAGACACATACACACAAACACACAATGCCTGCAAGCATGCATGCACGCACGTATAGACAAATATATGAATGTATGTAAACTATGATCAAGAACAAATAGTCGAAAATTTAGTTCATTTAAATAGTCGAAAATTTAGTTCATTTAAATAGTCGAAAATTTAGTTCATTTAAATAGTCGAAAATTTAGTTCATTTAAATAAATAAAAATTTAGTTAATTGTTATGTATGTAATGTTCTACACCCACATGCACGCACACATGCATGCCCCCCCCCCCACACACATATTAACAGGGCTCCCCAGCAATTTCAGAGGGCCTGCCATTTACGGCTGGAGGGGGGAGGGGCTGGGAGGGGGTTGCACCAATTGGGCTCAATTACACCAACACAGGGCCCAACACACAGGTAAACTTGATCAGTTTGGCGACATATACGTCAAGTTGTAAAAACATAGCATAACTGCATTGAGATTGTCAAATGTGAATACTGCTGGGCCTAATCTGCCACAAACTGGGCTAAAACACAGCATGTAAATAAGGCAATTAAGGCATTTTGGAGGATTTACAGGATGTCGCACATTAGCTTCAGCATTATAGGCATGTCAAACCCGACATGCACTAAAGTGAAAATTTCTAACAATACTCTTAACCGTTCTCATAGCTTCCTGACTATTACAATACGTACTGATATTACCTACGCAACAGCAATGTCTACAGTAAGGCTAGCATGTCTTATAACGCATGATCATCGATACTTTCACCAAAATATGCATTAATTGTTGACACAGTTACATGGATGCTACTTATTTTTCCTTGTGAGACCCTGTCCCTACATTTTTGGTAACATGCACACAGTAACAGAGACACTGTGCCAGTAAACAACCACTTTGTCACTAAATGAGATGGACTTTTGTCTGCAGCACCGATTACAAGGTGAACTAATAGGTGAAACTTATTTGGCTTCGCGTTTTTATTTATTTATTTATTTGAGAGATAGTTTTAAAAGCCTGGGGAGAACCCTAATATATCTATATATAATATAAATCCTATCCCATATATATAGGGTTTAGGGCTTATTTGTGGTTACCCCGTGCAAAATAGCCTAAACGAGGGCCAGAGTCAACGAGATGGTCAGGGGGACATAGACCCCTTAATCCGAGCAGTAGTAATAGTATTTTAATTTTACGACGGCATCTGTAGCTGTTGGCTCACTCTGAACACTCACGACAGTTATATATTGCAGACTTGTGGTGTCTCTATCCACTCGATTAATTCTTATTATTGACAGAGGATGGATATATCAATTTAGTTAATAATGATGCTCACGCAAGCATACAAAATACAAATAATTTTTTAAGACTTTTAAATTAGTAACAGTAAAAACTTAACTTAGGGTGATACTCACATTAGAAGTGTTTGCAACTTTAATGTCATTAATCGTCATAATAGCATAATATATATATATATCAGGAGTAGATATAGGGAAGGAGTGTGACTTCAAATAAACAGATTGCCGGTGTGGGATCTCCGGATTGCGGGGTATACGAGAAACGATTTCGCACGATGCTAGGCGAATGTACTGTGTACGATTTGAGCTCAAGTTGGATGAGTTACGCGTAGTAAATCGTAGGTATTATAAGGCTAGTAAATAACGAATTTTCTTGTTTATTGAAGTCACACTCCTTCCCTATTATCTACTCCTGATATATATATATGGTCATATATTATAGTTTGTGGTTTAATGTCATTTAGCGTTAGGGTTAGGTTAGGGTTAGGATTATCAAATCATTAATCATTAATCATATATAATAATGATATCAAAGTTGGGAACACTCTCTATGGCGCGTTGCCTAACCCTGTGCCGAGGTGAATGAGAGTGGTTGTCATGCAGGTGGTATTGATGAAGTTAATAGTTTCCCACCATTTCTTTCAGTGAAATGCCTGCATCTTGGCTGAGCAACAAGTTCATGGAGCTTGGGTTGGAGGTTTATTCACAGAACTTTTCCATGAATCATCCATTAAAAAAGCACACTGTATGTATATCATGTCATCTCCAAATTGCTAGATTTCTCTGATAAAAACCTTCACAATCATGTAGGTACAATCGGAAAATGCTCAAAGTCATTTAATATGCCTATACCCACTGACAGACAATGATACATTCTGTTATGCTAGTCTATCTTTTGTCTTTATTAAATATATGCGGAGATGTACTAATCATACTGTATTATCTTGTGGTTGCGCAGGTCGTTAGTGGGACAAACGTTTACGCGATCTATGAGAGCTCCTAGGATGGCCAGCACAGAAGCTGTAGTGCTCAATTTGCCCTTCAGGAAGTCGAATTCTTCCGGTGTTGCTCTGTCCCTGGCCGTCGCAAAGTATTTCAGGAGTCAGTGACAGCGATGCACATTTATATATATATATATTATATATATGCAATTAATTAGCTAATGTGTAAAAGGTTAGATTTTAGCTGCTAAATTTAATCTGCTGCATTAGCAGTAACATGTTGCTGGTGAAAAGGGTTGTCTGATTACTAATGGGAATTATTATCTAGTCTTATTTACCTATTTTAAACATAATTTTAGTTTGCATTGTATTGCATATGTGATATGAGCCTACGTAGCCTACCATGAACCTGTATATTTTTCATATACTAATTCTATATACTTAAATCGTGATTTTACTGGTAAATGTTATATATTATATATATATTTCACCAGGGCATTGCCTACTGGGCAAAGGATAATATTCCTCATATCAGAGCAAGACCAGCTTGGTGTCCTAGCATGGCTCGATGCATACCATCACCATGATGACACAGCACTCAGATTGTGAGTTATTTCATATGGTCTTTAAATCAGAAACATTTTGCAGTGTAAAGGCCAAGACACACTGCATCGACAGCGACCGACCGTAACGACAAACGACTTTTCAAGAAATTAGAAACTATTGTTCCTATGACAGCCATTGCACACACACGCGACAACGACCAGTGACAACCTCAACGACAAAAATATTTAGAACGTTTCTATCTCCTGCGACAGTCGCGAGCAACACTTTACAAATAGCCAATCGCAGCCATTTCCATCGGCACGTGACATTACGATTACATCATAAATAACCCATAATGCTAGCCAAGACGTAGACTGGTCTCTGGCGCTAAACTCGCGCCGCATGTCACAAACAATGGGGCCGCGAACCAGTCTAACCAAAGCGTGCAAGCGTGGCAAGCTAGACACAGACGTAAAGTACATGATAATTTGTTGCGTATATTTTACTTTATTATCTTATCCTTATACCTAGAGAGTTTTTGCAGCCTGTTATTTAAAAGCAGCAGCATGAGTTTTTGCCGTTTGTTCATGTGATGATTGTGTACCACTGTGGCGAGTGCTGGGTGAACTTTGACCTACGACGTCGGTCCTGGTGCTGCAGTGTGTTTGCGCCAGTTTGCCGCGACTTGTTGTTTGTCGTTACGGTCGGTCGCTGTCGCTGCAGTGTGTTCTTGACTTCAATGCTGCCAAACTTTAAAGTGTATACGCATGTTCAGTAAGAGGAGGCTTTCACAGTCATTGAGTATTTCTTGTATTGTAGCATTTTTCCCGCTTTTAAACCGTAAATGCGTGATCATTTGCAGAGTTCGCATACAAGCCTTCGCACATCGGAGGTGGTGACACTCTACACACGTTCCTATTCCAGTTTTGAAAAGCTCAAATCTAGAGTCCAGAGCTGGCTCCATTCTTGCACGCAACTTAGCCTGGAAATTCTAGCTAATCGGGTCACAACGTTTGATATGCAAGTGGAAGGCCTGGATGGACAGCTACCCAATTTTGGACCTGTTTAACTTAGCTGTGCGACTCTGCCACACTGAGAATATATCTCCGACATTTCATGGCAAGGTAATAATGGCTGTGTAGACATGTGTGTAGTCAATAAAATGTAGATTGCATTGTGATCGGTTCTTGCATTCTTGTATTTTTGATTTCACTAACAAGATTATGACAAAAATTCTCGTAAATTAACAGTTATAAGTTTAGACTGAAAATTCGATTGGAACAGAAGTTGCAGTTGCTATGCATTTACTTACTTGCATGTGTTTTAACTCAGGCTAACCACCCATCACCAAGATCTCAGAAGGGGTACATTCATGCGCTGACAACCATGCTATCTATGCGTCGTAACTCAAGCTTCAGGTCAACCTTCAGGAAACCACGGTCTCTTCCAGCGTTTCAACATCGAGGCAGTATCAATGGTTGGGTCAAGGCAAAAGGGAACTTCCTCGGCTTTAAGCAAATGGGAAGGTGTGAAATGTGTTACTAATTTTGCCAATTGTATTATAAAAACATATTTTGCTCTCTTTCTATGGATATACCAAGTCAGCTTACATATTGACATTATTGACCTACATGCTAAACCAGTAGAATGTAAATTTCATATGAATTTCAAAGATTTTAAGATATTTCAATCTACGCCAATTCCTTGTACCTACCCATACATGTGAATAATGGTTTTATTAGTCCTTCGCCAGTAGGCTACCTATCAGTTTTCTTAATTAAGTTTGTTGCATAGTAACTGGGAAGCATCCCCGGTCTTCACGTGTTGTTGCAGAGTGGTGGAGGGAATCGTCCGCAGTCTGAACAACGCTGCTGGAACGCTTTCATCAGTCATTCTTCTTCTATCTCCTGCCATCCACGGACGCGCTATGTCTCCATAGGCATGTACATGCCACCATTTGGGTTGATCGTGATTCCTGCTGTTTCAAAGTATCCTTTCATAAGTGTAAGAGCGTGTATCTTACTCAGAATGCTATGCAGCATATGTGGTTTATATATATATATATATATATATATATATTATATATATATTTATTTATTTATTTATTTTATATATAGATATATTAGGGTCTTCG